GTAGGTTATATGCCAGTACAATAGCATTTATTTATTTTAAAGAGAATAAAAAACAGTAATAAAATAGCAATGACATAGACAAAAACACAACAAAGCAACAATAAAAATGATACAAGGTTTCAGAACAAAATGATAGGAATTAACAGTGGTTGTTATATCACATATTGTTATCTTCAGTGAAGTTGCTCAGATTACCAGATGCAAAAAATGCAAGATTGATCAAACCATTAAAGAGAATAAAAAGAGAAAAGAAAACATTAGAAAGGATGCAGAGTTTCACTATAAGGGAGTTGAGCACCTTTGGATTTTAGTATCTGGAGGGATTCCTAGAGCCAATCCCGCCTGGAAACTGACGGGTGACTGTACACCAAAGTAGGTAGGATAGTAAAAAGCATACATTCTCAGCAAGGTTGAGAGTGGACAAAGGTTGAAATTGGTTGTAGGGGGGAAGGGATGAATATCTTTCAGATATCACAATGTTTGGTCTCCTAAAAGACCATATTATATAACAAATAAGAAGTATATCCTTTTTATTGAAATTTTATGGATATGGAAGTGATTAGAAAAAAATGTGTAAAAAGGCTCTTATGAAAATGATAATGAAAAGTAGATTGAGAAACACTACTATAATGAACCCCATGAATTTATTATTCAGCTTGAAAAGTTGCCCACTCACAGATAATCTTGTTTCAATACTCCACCTCCATATTATATGGAAATAAATCTCAGGCAGTACACAATTTTTATCATAAGTATTTTAGTATAAATCACTAAATAAGACTTTTTAAAAAATGTAACCACAGAGTTTTGTCACACCTAAAAAGTTAAAATATTTTCTTAGTATCAAGAAATACCTAGTCAGCATTCAAGTTTCTAAGTGGATATTCTGAATCAGATCCAAATCATGATCACTGATATTAGCAAACCTCAGCATAAAGTTTCCCATGGCTCTTTGTTTATTTTATTTATTGAAGCTATTATACTACCTATAGTTTCTCAGTCTGAAGTTTGAGGGTTTCATCCTTGTGTCATTTAACATGTTTCTCTGTGCTGCAATCTGTTAACCAACTTCCTTAAGGTATGATTTATATATAATGGTCTGCATATATTTAAAGTATACAGTTTAAAAGCTTTGGCATGTGCATATATCTGTGAAACAATTACCAAAATCAAAATAATGCTCTTATCCATTGTCTCTCTGGACAGTAAGCAATCCTTCATAGATGTCACCATTTACCAGGAAAACACTATTTATATCAGTACAATTTGGCTTGCATTTTTGAGGAGTTTAGATAGGATCACACAGTATGTACTTTACCCTCTGGCTTCTTTTATTCAGTATAATCATGGTGAGATTAATTCATATTATTGCTTATATAAACACTTCATTTCTCTTTATTGCTAAATAGTTTTCTGTTGAACAGATATACCAGTTTGTTTGTTGATGGTTTGTTGATGACCATTTGAACTGTTACCACTTTTGAGGTTTTATGAACAAAGCTGCTCCAAACATTTGTATGTCTCCCTTCCCTTCCCTTCCCTTCCCTTCCCTTCCCTTCCCTTCCCTTCCCTTC